CCAGCCAGCCAGCCAGCCAGCCAGCCAGCCAGCCAGCCAGCCAGCCAGCCAGCCAGCTGTCCCTCCTCCTCAAGCTCTTCCTTCCTAAAGTACATGTTAAGAAGATAAGCTACTTTCACACCAAGCAGCATGAAAAATCAGGAAACTGCTCATGGAAGGAAAAATTGTTTCCTTGCAACAAGGATAGTTCCATTCCTTCTTCTATTTTGTAATAAAGAAACTTGATTTCTCATCCTTTCCATTTGTCCTGAATGGAAAATCAGCAAAGTATGCCCAGCCGAATGGAACGTGCTTATTCCTCCAGGAAAACAGATCCTATGTCCCACAATCAACACAGCCCTTGGATGTAAAAAGCTTGTAAAAGTTAAATAAGTTTCTTTTCATACAAATTGTAATTCATATACTATTTTTAAAACAATGCACTAACAGGCAGAAACTAATCTAACTTCTACACTTCTGCATGCCAAACAGTAATTAAAAACTGCACAATAAGGGGTAAAAATCTGAATAAGGTACATATAGCTCATACTAATGACCCTGAAATCTTATGGTATCAGGGTCTTTTAAGTCTAGGTTGAAAGACGAAAATGTGGAACCTAATGAAAATTTTATTTATTTAGATGAGTTATATACTCTCTCAAATATCTTGGGGCAGCTTACACATAAAACAATAAACAAAAAATAGTTACCATAAAATATAACATTAATACAAAAATTCTGCTAAAGCTACCTAACAGACAGTCGCATTGGACAGGAACTCAAATCCTCATGCCTGGGGGAAAGCCAGGTCTTTCAGGCTTTAGAAAAGGTAGGCTGGGTTGTGGCTACCCAAATCTCAGGGGAATGCTATTCCATACAGCACACGCTGACATGCATTATTTAAGAGGTGAAACCCAGAGCATGCCGACTCCTTTGGATCATATCAGATGGGAAGAGCTGCAAATAACTCAGCCTTGTACCATGATGGTTTGAAAGGTGATAACCAACACCCTAAATTGCACCCAGAAGCCCATTGGCAACTAATGCAGTTCACAAAATAGAGATGTATACGGAGTTACACCTGTAACTACTCATGCCGCTACATTCTGGACCAGCTGCAGCTTCCAAGAAGTCTTCAAGGGCAGCCTTGTAGAACATGTTACAGTAATCCAGATGAGAGGTGAGCAATGCATGAATTACAGTGAGTAGGGCCTCTCCAGGAAAGGGCACAAACATTGCACAAGATGGAATACATAGAGGACAGAGAAAAAGGGCTTAAGGGTCAGAAGAAGAGCCACTACCAAGGCAATGGTCACATAAAAAGGGCTTGAGTCTAGGGCAAGAATGTAACATGAATAAATGTTTCAGACAAGCCCTAGTTCACACGAATATAAAGGAAGGAAGGGGGCAAGCACATTCAGACCTGCAAGATTCTGTTACTATAGCTTTACAATGACCTACATAGCATTGGTTTCCTAGTCTGATCTACCTTGAAGAGCTGACAGAATGGTACACAGGCCATCCAAGCCATGGCTACCACCTGCTCTTCAAGCAGGTGTCTGGAGTAATGCAAGCCAATTCAGAAAATCTTTGCTTCCAGGAGGTTCCAACATACAGAACCACTCAGGTTTTACTAGGGTTGAGCATAAGTTTGTTTCTCTCCACCCATGCCCCCACAGCCTCCAGTTACTGAGTGAGAACCTTAATGGTATCACTTGGCAGCAAGAAGTTGAGATGTATAATTGGGTATCATCAGCATACTGATATTTAATCCCATGCCAACAGATGACCCAGTAGCCTCATATAGATGTTAAACAGGAGTGGAGAGAGAAGCAAGCGCTGAGGTACTCCACAAAGCAAGAGTCAAGGGTTGAATCTCTCCCTGCCATCAACACTGACTAGAACTAATCTTGAAAGAAGGAGAGCCATCGCAACACCATGCCTTCACTCCCAATCCCCTGAGCTGGTCCAGAAGGATATCATGATCTGTGGTATTGAAGGCCACTGAGAGATCAAGGACAGCCAGGATGGATGCACCATTCTCATTCCAGTCCCACTAGGGGTCATCCAGAAGTGCAATCAATGCCATCTGATACTATCTCCAGGCCTGCAGCCTGACTGAAAGGCCTCCAGATAATCTGTTTCCAGATAATCTACTGACAGACCACTTTCTCAATAATCTTGCCCCAAAAGGGAAGGCTGAAGACAGGTCTGAAATTATCCAACACTAATCAGAACCAGGGATGGCTTGCTGAGGAAGGGGCAGACCACTTCTTCCTTAAGAACAGGTGGAACCACCTCTTTACTTAAGGATGAATTGCCACCACCTAGACCCAACCATACATCATCTCCCAGGAGGCCTTGATCAGCCAGGATAGATGGTTACACTCAGAGCTCCAAGGACCAGGTCCACTTCCTTAGGATCAATAGACTCAAATCCTTCTCAGGTAACCACACAAGACTGTGTGTGAGTCAACTCTACAGGACTCGCACAGCTGGATTCCAACTCAAAATAAATCCAAGGATTTTATCCAATAGATGTCTTGAACGATTTTCACAACAGCTGCTCAGATGATCTTCTCATCCCTCCCTCCCAAGGAGAGAATGAGTTACCTTAAACAGGGCTGCAGAACATCAAACTGCAGATGCAGTAAGAGTACAAAAATATACAGATGGTCCCCTGCTTACAAACTTTTGAGTTGCAAACTTTCGTCGATATGAACAAGATGGACCTGGAAGTCGGGAGAAGGCAGGAAAGGGTTAGTTTCCAGTGTGCCACAAACTAGCCCTTACCCACCTTCTCCTGCATTCTGGGAGGTTGGAAGTTTGCATTGGAGATCTTGGAAAGGGTTAGTTTACTGGGTGAGCAGGAGAGGCGGCTGTGGCTCCCTGGGTGAAGGGATGAGCTAGTGGGGTGCGGCACACCCTGTCGCCGGGTGAGGCAGGAGAGACAGCAGTGGCTCCCACAGCGCCCTCCCCTTCGCCCAGGAAGCCACCGCTGCCTCTCTTGCCTCACCCAGTAAACTAATCCTTTCCAGGAACTCCAACACAAACCTCAAACCTCCCGTATGCAGTGGGCCATAAACTAACCCCTTCCTGCCTTCTCCTGTCTTCTGGGAGGTTGGAGGTTTGCGTTGGAGTTTACAGTGTGCATTGGGAGGCTGCAATCTTTAGCCTTCCTCCTGCAAGGGCCAACAGTTTCCAATATGAGCTGCAGAGCACACGTTGTGCCTGTGCTCGTCCCTCTGCTTCCTCCAGTTCTGCTGCCACCTTGAACAGCGCCTCCTGCACACTGCTCCCTTCTCCCAGGGAGCCACTACTGCCTCTCCTGGCAACAGAGTGTGCCACGCTCCACCAGCTCATCCCACTGCGCTTTCCACAGTCTGCATGCTATTGCTCCTAGCATTGGTAGCAGAAGACAGGACTCCTCTGCCCATACAGCTGCCCTGCCTCCTGCCTTTTTTTTTTTTACTTTTTACAGTACTTTTTACTTGGTTGGACTTACGAACAAAATGGATTTACAAACAGCTTCTTGGAACATAACCTGTTCATAAGTACAGGACTGCCAGTATCTGTTTGGCCACTCTTATCACCCCACTGTAATCCTTAATGAACATTCTTACTCATGTTTGGTAGACTTGCTCTTCACTTCCCTCCAGCAGCGCTCTAGGCATC